GTCAAATTCAGGTCCCCACTCCCCCCCCTCCCCAAATGTCCCGTCTTGGTGATTCCTGTACTGTGTCCGCAGTCTCTGGTATTCTCTGTACTGTGTCCGCAGTCTCTGGTCATCTCCTGTACTGTGTCGCAGTCTTTGGTCATCCCTGTAACTGTGTCCGCGTCTCTGGTCTCCCCTGTACTGTGTCCGCAGTCTCTGGTCATTCCCTGTACTGTGTCCGCCAGTCTCTGGTCATCCTGTAACTGTGTACGCAGTCTTTTTCCTGGTGCTCTCCTGTACTATGTCTGCAGTCTCTGGTCATCCCCTGTTACTATGGTCCGCAGTCTCTGGTAATCTCATGTACTGTGTCGCAAGTCTTCTGGTTAATCTCCTGCACTGTGTCTGCAGTCTCTGGTCATCTCCTGTACTGTGTCTGCAAGTCTCTGGTCATCTCCTGTACTGTGTCCGCAGTCTTGGTCATTCTCCTGTACTATGTCTGCAGTCTTGGTCATCCCCTGTACTATGTCCGCAGTCTCTGGTAATCTCCTGTATCTGTGTCACAGCAGTCTCTGAGTCAATTCTCCTTGTACTATGTCTGCAGTCTCTGGTCATCTCCCTGTACTGTGTCTGCAGTCTCTGGTCATCTCCTGTACTATGTCCACAATCTCTGGTCATCCCTGTACTGTGTCCGCAGTCTCTGGTCATCCCCATGTACTGTGTCCGCAGTCTCTGCGTCATCTCCTGTACTGTGTCCGCAGTCTCTGGTCATCTCCTGTACTGTGTCCGAACCAGCAGTCTCTGGTCATCCTTCCTGTACTGTGTCCGCAGTCTCTGGTCATCTCCTGTACTGTGTCCGCAGTCTCTGGTCATTCCTGTACTGTGTCCGCAGTCCTCTGGTCATCTCCTGTACTGTGTCCGTAGTCTCTGGTCATCTCCTGTTACTGTGTCCGCAGTCTTCTGGTCATCTCCTGTACTGTGTCCGCAGTCTCTGGTCATCTCCTGTACTGTGTCCGCAGTCTCTGGTCATCTCCTGTACTGTGTCCGCAGTCTCTGGTCATCTCCTGTACTGTGTCCGCAGTCTGTCTGGTCATCTCCTGTACTGTGTCCGCAGTCTCTGGTCATTCTCCTGTACTGTGTCCGCAGTCTCTGCTCATTTCCTGTGCTATGTCTGCAGTCCATTGGTTCAGAATATTTTTTTTTCTTGTTTTTCACCTCTAAAACCTAGGTGCGTCTTATGGAACGAAAAATACGGGAATGTGGCTGATTCATAACACAGGACTCGGTTACATGGCTGATGTTCCATCATGTATGATTCGTGGTAGTAGGGTACATCACTACTGCCCATCCCCAACACACACAATCATGGTCAAAACCATCTTGTCCCCCTCGGCATTTGTCAGATAAACGCCCCACTTCACCCAGAAATAGGTGCTGCAATACAAAATGTTCCGGCATTCTCTGGTGTCATTTCTTGTGACCTTCCAACAAACAAAACCCAAAAAAGACCCCAAGGACCCCACCCAAAACCCTACACCCCTACCCCAACTACTACTATACCTACTAGACCCCTCCTATTCCCCAACTACTACTATTCCTACTACCTCCTAAATACTACTACAACCTCCGACTACCCCATACTACGACTATCCCTCGACAACCCCTCCGTATTACTGTTCATTTACCCACACCTCCACCGACTACCCCAACGTACTTACTATTTCCTACACATCTCATACTACCTAGTCTCCCAACTACTACTATGGTCCTGGACTACATCTTCTTACTACCCCAAGTACTACCTGTCAAAGTACCTGGATAGTGAAAGCCTGGCACGTAGAGGCAGGCCTCTCGCATCAACCCCGGCTCAAGGACCACTGAATCGTGAAACAGTGGCCGCAGGGACACGTGAGGTATGAGTGCCTGTGATCTGTCCGATAGTAATAGCTGGTAAGCAGATGAGCTGCAGAGCAGTGCCGGAGGCAGAGAGCAGGATTTCAATGCAGCCGTGCTGGATGGATGGATCACCGAGGAGCAAACGTTCTGAGGATGCAGGGTCAGAGAGCCGGGTTCTGTAGTTTTCAGGCAATTTCAGGCTTAAGTGGCAGAGGAAGCATAAGTCTGGGTTACATTCTGGCGTCAGCTCAGCCGAAGATCAATCAGACAGGAGCGAGCGAGGCAGAAGGTAAATCCAAGCAAGCCAGAGGTCAGAGCAGGTAGCGGTCAAGCGGAGGTCAGGAACAAGCTGGTTCGGTATCAGAGGACAATCACAGGAATCGGAAACACAAGCAGACCATGAGACCATACGCAATGGCTACATCTATACTGCAGTCAGTTTAAATAGCCCTTTGGTGGCACATTAATGCATGAATGCGCCATGTTAACTGAGTGCTTGGCATATTCCAAAGCACACACACATCTCTCTCGAGCTCATACAGAAACTACTGTGCATGCGCACATGATTTGCACTGCTGATCTTTGCCTCACTATGGCAGGCCTTTTCCTGACATTGCCCCCCCTCCCTATGGTCAGCCGCCGAAGTGCCCCAACTGGGACTCCTTTTCTGTGGGTGATTATTGATTATACATTATTATACAGTATTTATAAAGCGCCAATAGTTGGCTCAGCGCCTGTACATTACAAAGGGGGACAGAACATGTGACAGAACAATGACCATATACAATGGCAAAACATGAGGGGATTGAGGGCCCTGCGCTTTGGAGCTTACAATCTAGAAGCTGATGGGATAGTGGTACAAGAGAGAATGAGCTGTGGGGATGAGTGGTAGGAAGAGTGGAGGAGGTCGGGCAAGTTAGCAGGGGGTGGGGTAGGCTCCTGAAGAGATGGTTTTCAGGGTGCTCCTAAAGGAGAGGAGAAGTAGATGATATAGCTTTGATGGGTTGGGGCAGGGAGTAAGATTCACAAATTAAGAAGTCTGTAGTATGCACGGTATGTTGCAGGTTCTCAGGATTCTCCTCTGGCCCATACCCTATACATTTAATCAGGGTATTGTGGTCTCCCCCCCCCCCCCCTTTTTCTACAGTCCCAAGACAGCCTCAACCCTCAAATACCTCCTCGCCGTCAATAATTATAGGTTCAGGGGCCTTGACCTCCGATCCAAGAGTTAGGGCCACAGATACTTTAGGGACACAGAATTGTTACTCAGGGACACAGAACTGTTACTCAGGGACACAGAACTGTTACTCAGGGACACAGAATGTTACTCAGGGACACAGAACTTGTTACTCAGGGACACAGAACTGTTACTCAGGGACAGAAACTGAGGGACACAGAATTGTTACTGAGGGACACAGAATTGTTACTGAGGGACACAGAATTGTTACTGAGGGACACAGAATTGTTACTGAGGGACACAGAATTGTTACTCAGGGACAGACACAGAATTGTTACTGAGGGACACAGAATGTTTTACTCAGAGGGACACAGAATTGTTACTGCAGGGACACAGAATTGTTACTCAGGGACACAGAATTGTTACTCAGGGACACAGAATTGTTACTCAGGGACACAGAATTGTTACTCAGGGACAGACACAGAATTGTTACTCATTGATGGACACAGAATTGTTACTGAGGGACACAGAATTGTTACTGAGGGACACAGAATTGTTACTGAGGGACACAGAATTGTTACTCTGAGGGACACAGAATTGTTACTACTGAGGGACACAGAACTGTTACTCAGGGACAGACACAGAATTGTTACTGAGGGACACAGAATTGTTACTGAGGGACACAGAATTGTTACTGAGGGACACACAGAATTGTTACTCAGGGGACACAGAATTGTTACTCAGGGACACAGAATTGTTACTCAGGGACAGGACACAGAATTGTTACTGAGGGACACAGAACTGTTACTGAGGGACACAGAATTGTTACTGAGGGACACAGAATGTTACTCAGGACAGACACAGAATTGTTACTCAGGGACACAGAATTGTTACTCAGGGACACAGAAATTGTTACTCAGGGACACACAGAACTGTTACTCAGGGACACAGAATTGTTACTCAGGGACACAGAAATTGTTACTGAGGGACACAGAATTGTTACTCAGGGACACAGAATTGTTACTGAGGGACACAGAATTGTTACTACTGAGGGACACAGAATTGTTACTCAGGGACACAGAATTGTTACTGAGGGACACAGAACTGTTACTCAGGGACACAGAATTGTTACTCAGGGACACAGAATTGTTACTGAGGGACACAGAATTGTTACTGAGGGACACAGAATTGTTACTGAGGGACACAGAATTGTTACTGAGGGACACAGAATTGTTTACTGAGGGACAGACACAGAATTGTTACTCAATTGACACAGACACAGAATTGTTACTCAGGGACACACAGAATTGTTACTCAGGGACACAGAATTGTTACTGAGGGACACAGAATTGTTACTCAGGGACACAGAATTGTTACTCAGGGACACAGAATTTTACTGAGGGACACAGAATTGTTACTCAGGGACACAGAATTGTTACTCAGGGAGACACAGAATTGTTACTCAGGGACACAGAATTGTTACTCAGGGACAGACACAGAATTGTTACTCAGGGACACAGAATTGTTACTGAGGGACACAGAATTGTTACTCAGGGACACAGAATTGTTACTGAGGGACACAGAATTGTTACTCAGGGACACAGAATTGTTACTCAGGGACACAGAATTGTTACTCAGGGACACAGAATTGTTACTCAGGGACACAGAATTGTTACTGAGGGACACAGAATTGTTACTGAGGGACACAGAATTGTTACTCAGGGACACAGAATTGTTACTCAGGGACACAGAATTGTTACTCAGGGACAGACACAGAATTGTTACTGAGGGACACAGAATTGTTACTGAGGGACACAGAAATGTTACTGAGGGACACAGAATTGTTACTCAGGGACAGACACAGAATTGTTACTGAGGGACACAGAATTGTTACTCAGGGACACAGAATTGTTACTCAGGGACACAGAATTGTTACTGAGGGACACAGAATTGTTACTGAGGGACAGACACAGAATTGTTACTGAGGGACACAGAATTGTTACTCAGGGACACAGAATTGTTACTCAGACATTGTTACTGTTACTCAGGGACACAGAATTGTTACTCAGGGACAGGGACACAGAATTGTTACTGAGGGACACAGAATTGTTACTGAGGGACACAGAATTGTTACTACTGAGGGACACAGAATTGTTACTCAGGGACACAGAATTGTTACTCAGGGACACAGAATTGTTACTCAGGGACACAGAAATTGTTTACTCAGGGACACAGAACTGTTACACAGAATTGTTACTCAGGGACACAGAATTGTTACTCAGGGACACAGAATTGTTACTCAGGGACACAGAATTGTTACTCAGGGACACAGAATGTTACTCAGGGACACAGAATTGTTACTCAGGGACACAGAATTGTTACTCAGGGACAGACACAGAATTGTTACTGAGGGACACAGAATTGTTACTGAGGGACACAGAATGTTACTCAGGGACACAGAATTGTTACTCAGGGACACAGAATTGTTACTCAGGGACACAGAATTGTTACTCAGGGACACAGAATTGTTACTCAGGGACACAGAATTGTTACTCAGGGACACAGAATTGTTACTCAGGGACACAGAATTGTTACTGAGGGACACAGAATTGTTACTGAGGGACACAGAATTGTTACTCAGGGACACAGAATTGTTACTCAGGGACACAGAATTGTTACTCAGGGACAGACACAGAACTGTTACTGAGGGACACAGAATTGTTACTCTGAGGGACACAGAATTGTTACTGACACTGAGGGACACAGAATGTTACTCAGGGACACAGAATT